AGCCAAGCTTCTGTTCCACAAGCAGCTGGAGCAGCCAAGTGTTTTCTTCAAACTGATTTATCATTGCTAAGTGACTGTGTATCAACTTCTGAGTATTGCAGAGAAGAAAATATTGGACCCAGTGTCTAAATGCAAACAAGCTGCCTTTGGACCCAAGAAAGGTAGGTTTGCTGAGTATCCAGAGGTCACTGGGACTTAAATGCAATCTTCTCCCTGATTTCAGAGGAAGTGTACTGGCCTTCTGTGTGGTGTGTCACTTGCTAGCAGCGCGTGAGTTACAAAACATGCCACCTGCTCATAGAAGAGGACTTGGCTTCGGCAAGGTTTCCAAGGTGGCTGATCTGAATGTTCTCCCAAATGTTTCCAGTTGTGGCATCTCATTTGGGGGTTGCTCTATTTCCTGATAATGGTGCTTAGGCATGTCATTTCCCAGAGCCGCCCAGAGTCACCCTCTGGGGGAGATGGGTGGCATATAAATGTAATAAATAAATAAATTTCCATCCCTCTGAAAAACGGCTGTAGAGGTCTCAGGCATTGACAAGAGAAACGCTTTACTGCATTGAAGACTAGTTGGAAGGCCAGAGTGAGTTCAGTTGATCATCTGTGGGTTGGAACATAGGTTCCAGAATGTAACCTACTACATTGTGGAAATATGCTTTCCTAGACGGGGGAGAGATTGTCTAATTATTTCACTTGTTCCACATCCCAACTACCAGAAAGCCCACATGAGCAAAGCTACGCTTGGGGCACCCAGTTCCAGTGGAAGATCCCTCTAGTCCCTCCTGACCTAAAGTTGTGCATTAGGTCAGGAGGGACTAGAGACCAAAAGACATGGGATCATGTTGGCCTTGATCTTTTTAGTAAGTCACTTGTTAAGTCTGCAGGCCCTGAAGAAATATACCCTAGAATACTGAAGAACCATGAGGTCCTCTGTCAATTAACTTTGAGGAAACCTGGAGAATGGGGGATGTGCCAGAGAATTGGAAAAGAGCAAATGCAATCCCCTCTACAAGAAGGAAAGAAAGAAAATCCCTGTAACTATCAAGCAGTGAACTTAACATCAACACCTAGAAAGTTGTTACAGCAAATAATAAAGGAGGCCATTTGCAAGCATCATAATGCCATGATTGCTAAGAGTCAGCGTGGCTTTGTCAAAAATAGGTCATGTGAGACAAATCTTGCCTCCTTCTTTGACAAGGAAGCTACTTTATTGGAAAAGGGGAAGACTGTGGATATAATCTACCTCAACATCAGCGAAGTTTCCATATAACATTTTCATTGAGAAGCTGCTAAAGTGTGGTTTAGATGGCACGGCAGTAACATGAAACCACACCTGACTGGCTAAATGCAGTTAGAGAGTCGAGGACCGGAGGACATGGCCTGTGAGGACAGGCTGAAGGCACCTGAGATGTTCAGTCTGGAGAAAAGTCTAAGGGGTTTCAGTGTTCAGATCCATATAAGGGTGCCAAAGGGAAGACAGTGAGGAATTATCTCTCATTGTCACCAAAACTAAGACCAGAAATAATGAGTGTAAATTACAGCTACCTAGATTTCATTTAAATACAATGAAAATATTAGGTCCGTACAATAACTGAACAGTCTACCTACAGAGGTTTTGGGTTCTCCATCTCTGGGGGCTTTTAAGAAGAGGCTGGACAGTCATCTGTCGTGGATGGTTGACTTGATTGTCTTACACGTTGCAGAGGTTGGACCAGAGGATCCTTGTGATCTCTTCTAACTCCACAGTTCTTTTATTCTGTGACATGTATTGTTAAAACTGATTTTCTCTTATGAAAAGATAGTACTGATACTCAGTTTTCTTGCTGTGTCCTCTGCTTTCATGGTTGTTGATTGTGCTTTTCTTCTTTTCGTGAACCCATTTTTTACAGCTCTGAGTTCCTCAGTGGCTCTTTTCTTCCTTTCATGCTGGGAGGTCCTCTGGTTTCTGATTTGGTTTCATCCTTCGAATTCTCTTATTCAGTCTAGGAGGATGAGGATATTGACTTAATCTTTACTATCTCTAGTCTATGGTTCTTTTCTTCAAAAAAAACAACAACTTTGGTTTTGTTTAGTATTGCTCCCACACTCGTTTTTTAAAATCTTTCAAGGACATCATGTCTCGTTTTGCCTCTGGATGCTTCCCTTCCTGCTCTTTCTATTATGTGAGGATGGTGTAATTTTTATCTCAAAATCAAAACTATTGATTTATTAGGTTTACTAGATTTATACCTGCTGCTATTCACAGACTCCCAGTGGTCAATGATAGCCAAATGTCAGTCAACAAGACAATAGCTGTACTATTTAACATAGATGTTTGTGCTTCATCTTCATTTGTCATCATTAGTTGTGTCTTGAATCATTTTTTCCATTAATAAGCATTGCTAAAATATAGTATTTCCATTAATTCTGTCTACAGTAGCCCCTCTTTCCTTATTTTATCCTTGAGGGTCTATTAAAATAGTTTTTTTTTTCAGTTTTTTCTGTTCCCACTTTAAGACCCTTCTTTCTGGACATTCAGTCTGCAACAATTATCATGCCTCTCTGGGTTTTTTCCCCCCCCTTTGCTAGTTGCCTTTCTGCTTTTCATGTACAGCGTAAGATTCTGCTCCTCTCCTCCTAGTGCCTTTCACTCCCGATTTCTCTGTGGTTTCCCTGTCAGTCGGCTTGGTTTTTGGGAGACTTCGTTGCTCCTTAAGCCACCCTCCATCTCCCGCATTTTGGTAGTTCTTTTCTTACCTGTGAAACTCTGTGCCAGCTGATATTTATTTAATTGATTCCCTTCATCTGTTCAACAAAAGTCTAAAGAATCACTTATTCCTAACCCTGTTTGCTTTTCTCCTCCTCCGGTTTTAGGGTTTTCTTGAAAGTTTCCTTCCTTTCTAAATCCAACTGTATCAATGCCTCTTTTTCTTTGCCTTGTGAACAGAGCGAGGAGATGCTTGAGTATTTCAGAGCTGTGTCCCCCCTTCCCTTCCCTTCCCTTCCCTTCCCTTCCCTTCCCTTCCCTTCCCTTCCCTTCC